GCTCGACAAGTCGACAGCGGAGCTAAAAAGAAGTACAATAATACAATTGAAGTAAAAGTAAGAAATTTATTGGAAATGCGTCTTAAATTGAAAAGAACACACATTGCATGTAAGCCACAAATAATTTTTCTCAAATGTTTTACAAGCGAATTTCATCCATTTTGTTAACTATTTTAATGTACGTAATATTTGTACTTTCAATAGAGCAAAAACAATATTTATTTTATCCTAGAATTATTTGGATAATGTAACACTTACTGTATATGGACATAGTCATCCTTGGATAGTCTGAGTGTATTGGGTACAAAGTCGTATTCCACCGCAGGGTACACTTGTACTATGTTTCCTCTTTTACCACGCACATTGAAATTATATATACGAGCACTCTGTAGTGATTCTGGTCTCTTACGTATGGCAAATGAATGTGATCTAAAAATAAATACCATTAACCAATTATTCCTTGTTTTATGTTGTATATGTCAAATAGAATCAATACACAGAATAATGCAGTATTGTTATGAGTGTAACAGTGGTGTGAAATATTGTTTTTCAAATGCTGTACATACTGAAATAAATATTACAAGAATAAAATTGCTATTCATTGATACATTGTAACATGTGTCATTCTTACACCAATATAATGAGCTTACATTGTAATTAAAATAACCATACCAAGGTTTTGTTATTTACTGATATAAAAATTGCAATGTACACCAAATACCAAATAGATTACTAAATTCATTACGGTAAAAAACTTTCTTTTATAAACATGGAATTATTTTCGCTGAAAAGCAGTTTTGGGTTTTTTGTACAAAGTTTATTTTTACTGATTTTTGATGATAACAAAGTATTTTACAGAATTCAACATAATTCTGTCATCTTGCATTCTTGAATAGAGCAGGTGTACCTACTTTCATTTTATGAATGTCTACTTTTTGGGCAAAATATATTTAACCACTGAAGGTTGTGGTTCGTTTTGCATTAAAAGACGTATATCTATATACTCTAACCAACAATGTAAAATGGAAGTTTCCATACCTGTCTTGGAAGACTCTGCCATACTGATTTGTGTTAATAGCTAACTCTAAACCAAAATCTTTACCATCTTCAGTGAATTCATCAAAGATTTCAACCACAGGATTTTGTTCATAAACATAACCACGAGCTGCAGCTTCCTCTCGGCTTGAGAATCCAAGTCTAAAAATATATTCTTATTAAAAAAAAGTTGCCCAAGCACCTTGCAAACACACAACAACAATTTTTGTTTCTGTTATATGGGTAGCCAAGAACCCACATTGTATAACGAATTAAGTAAATGCAAATTACATTAGATGTGAAACACATGTTGATATCGCTAACTACTCAAAGTCATGATCAATGGACAAATCATAAAATTTGAGTCAATGTAACATAAATCAGAATGCGATAGTAACAAAATTAAAATGTTCATATACCTGGTATGAATATCAAGTGTACTAGGTTCATTGCCATTGCTATTTAGCGTTGAGTTGACATTGGGATCCCAGCCATCAAATTCACCAGTTGAAATATTATACCTGAAATCCATAAAATTAAATAAAATTTGTACGTGTTGTAAGATGTCACAGGAATATTATATACAGTTAAAAACAGAATTATTCATACCCCTACTGAAATTTCAATGTTTTGTGTTTTTCTGGAAAACCACAGGTGGATACAGAATATTTTGGCCGTGGTTGGATACCTTTACTTGAAAGGTAACAATTCTGAATGAGTTTTGTACAACCTCATTTGCATAACAAAAAAGCATATTACTAGTACTTTATTTGTATTCTGACTCACTCAAAATTATTCATACCCTTTGTTAAAGCATGGCATTTGGCCATATCCATCTGATATGCACATGCTTCAGACATTCC